ATATTTCTGCAAGGAGAAAGCAGGAATACCAATTATGACACTGGTATCTCCGTTTGTGAGGGAGGAATACGATCCCTTTTCCCCACTTTGTTTCCTGTACTTGAAAGACAGGAAACAAAGGGTCATAGTCAGAGAAGATATGTCAGGCTGTAGAGGAGTGGTAGGTGGTGTTCCACAGGGCTCTGTCCTAGGACCATTGCTGTATTTATGTAAATGACTTCACAGAGGAAGTGAACTTGTATATGTGATGTGTGTGCAGATGTGCAGTGTTAATGAGTAAGAACTGAATTGGACTGTAAGGTGCTGCAAGAACACCTTAACAAACTTCAGGAGTGGGCAAATAAATGGCTACTGGAATTCACTCCAAACAAGTGCAGTGAAAATGGGTTAGAGAGATAGTATACTTGTATTTTTAACTATACCGTAAGGGGAAGGCATATACAAGAAACAATAAGAGAAAGATTTGGGAGTAAACATAATTCCAATACTAACACCAGAAGCTCTTGTGAACAGGATAACATCAGCAACATATGGGAAGTTAGCAAACACAGCAAGAATGTCATTCAAGAATCTAAACAAGGAGGCATTAATGTCCAAAGACACTGCCTATGTGGAACTATTACTAGAGAATGCAGCTCCAGCATGGAACCCACACCTTGTAAAGCATAAACAGAAACTTGAGAAAGTTCATAATTTTGCAGCTAGATTAGTATCAGAATTGAGAGGCCTCAGCTATGAGGACAGGGTGAGAAAACTCAGCCTCACAACTTTAGAGAAGAAACAGATTGATCTACTACATGATCTTGAGGGGAATAGATAAAGGAAGCCTCTTTAAATCAGAGAGGTTGGACAACAAGTGGGAGCTGGACATGCAACAGAGTCCAAGAGTTGTAAGGAAGTTCTCGGTCCATGTACAGATGGAAGGCAAGTGGAATGCATTGAAGGAACTAAGTACTTATCAAAAGAAGACACCAAGCCGGGACGACTATGTAGCAGCATCAAATGTGCAGAATATTCAAAAGGCGGTAAATATTACTAAGGATGCCAAAAAGAGAACAAAAGTGCATAAGGCGAACGATATCATAGGTAACCGATTCATCAAGGATTCTATCGAGGGACAAGTGACCGTGAGGGATGGTCGGGAAGCAAGACACGTGCACGTCCTAAAGTCCAGACATTCAACAAGGATATGCACGACTAAGAGGGACAGTGCAGTCTGGACAATAAGGAGAAGTGTGGCGTTCCATTAAGTGCCGGTGAAGTAAATGTGTATGGCCAATGCGCATCCTTGCTAGAGCCGTGTACGGAGGTAGGAGGAAGACCAAAGGGGACACATTACCCTTAGGAGCATGCACTATTACCAGGAACAGAAGACCAATGACCCCTGCCAATGGGAAATGATTGAGGAATAACTGGATAGAAATCGGAATAAGGAACACCTTTACGGGAGATGGGACAAGTGCAGATAGCCTCCTTAGCAACAGCATCCCCATTGAAGGAAGAGGTTGTTAAAAAGCCAATTCCATACACAACTTTAAATTAAATACTATGAAAACAATGTTGAGGGGGTTAGTGCATCAGGTATGAAAAGCTAGGAGGTAGGGTATAAAGAGTTAAGAGCTCACTAGCCCTGTAATCATTGATAGATAAGCACAGGGGTATCTAGCATGCCTACCTGCCAATTGAGCACCCATGGAAATCTATCCATTCCCGAGACTGGCACTGTCCGTGGCAGAAGAAAACATTCGAGGCAATGGACTAAAGTAGGGCAGATGGAGATCAACAAAATTAAATGCGTGTCATTATAATTAAGATAAAAACGTTTGGACCTTATAGGTGGACCAAAGAATCATATGTGGTAGCATGCAAAAATTATATAATGCTGTCATTACAATCACTCACTGAAGAATTCTTAAGAACGAAGTGCCGGGGGATATAAGAGAAGATCACAGGGGCTACTTTCTAGGAAGTAAGGTTGCCCAGAGGGACATATCTTGGTTGCTCGCTACAATTTTCTTAAGATGAATCATGAGTAAGCATAAAATGAAAGAATGCTTCTGTGGAACTAGACGAGGGGAAGGTATGAGGGATCTTTATCCTCGGTGGTAACAGGGAGAGCACATGCAGGTAATTATTAGTGTAAATGGTAACACATGATCCCAAGCCCAGCTAACAGATGATTCAGACAGGCCCCATTAAACGTTCCAATAACTCGCATTCCTCCACTCAAGAAATTACCCTTCAGAAGCCACAGTCACTGGGTTGGCTCAACTTCTGAATATAAGGAAACGGAGAAATCATGGGTCTCTGTGCACGGCAAACACACGGGGCTGTAAGGCAAGCTTTGATCCTGCTCCCTTGGCAGGTAGCGAGGCATGGAAGACTATCAGGCCCTTACCAATAGTCTGCTGGTATCAAACAAATCTTTAATGTACCATCATTGTAGCAAGGAAACTGTTAAAGGGGATGGACAGTAGAACTATGAAAATTGTCCAAGGTA